TTGGTCAAATCATTTTGTCATCTTACCTAAGAAGAACATGTATAGTAAAACACCGCTTTATATCAGTATACATACTTACACCAGCAGCTACCATCTTTTCATTCTGGAGTGAAGGGCCTTTTGAAATCACATATTTTACAATGATACTGGTGAGTAGATTTACAAAATTCGTTAATGAGCTCCGTTTTACAAACACCTGTGATACAAGTAGTCAGCCAAAATAAACTATCAATAGACCAATTAAAAGATTACTCGAGTTGTAAATATGTGCTAAATTGGATAGTCTATGGAAAGGTATATACTATGAAATTAAGAGCTTGGGGCAAGCCCCTCGCTCTAAATTTCATAGTATATACCTTTCCATAGACTAACCTAGACATAGTTTATGATAAAACAAATAGCCAGAGGATATATTTACTGATTGACCATGTCCTTTCAAGTTGATTAAGTTAAATCATATAATGTCTAACAAAAAATATCTAAAGTTAGAATATAGCAAAGTGCTCTCAACCAATGAAATTGTAGGATTTGATGCCTCTTAATTGTGAAGAATGAATGTAAATCATGTTCTTAGTAAGGGATTATCCTATGTGGGTCTATTTATCGTTAAAAAAAAGAGTTTCTATAAATAAGTTACAACTACCCCGAAGCATATTTATCAGATTAAAAGGATATATCACACAGTGATTGAAACTGACTAAAAACTGAGTTGTGAAACAAACAAAAAACTCAAAATAAGTTAAAGTTTACTGTGCAGTAAAATTGGTACCATGAATATTATAATGAAAATATTTTTAATAACTTCAAATTACTAAATAATTAAACAATATCAAAGCATTTGCAAGAAAAGAAAAAAAAAAGCTTTAAAATAAAAAAAAAATACCTTAATCTTTAGCTTTCCAAATCTTTGATCACTGGATCAGCGGTTGGGTAGAATAGTTATTTCCAATATTTCGATAAAATAAAAATAAAAAAACAGGAATTTAATTTAAGTCTTGAACATCATGAACATATCAAAAACTTTTAAAGGCATTTTATTTGAACATTTCCCTGACATAATGAAATAGTATTTGATGTAAAAAGCCGGACCAAAATATTGGCTGTTAAATATAATTTAGTTGTAACTCAAATGTATCAATTGATTTAAACTGTAAATTAAAAAAAGGATAATTCCTCACTAAAATATTACATGATTTACATTCATACTCACAATCAGGAAACATATACAATTCCTACATTTTCTTTGTTCTGTTGTGTTACCTAATATGTATAACGCATTTTTTAAAAATATTTCCCAAATAATAAGAAAGTCCTTACATCACTAAAACTAATCCATAAATGAAATGCATGAAAAGGAAGGCATGCTTTAATTATAAACATTGCACTGACAATGAAACTAATTATTACATACAACCAATTTAGAGATCATTTGAGCCTTGAACACTTTACAATATTCTAAGTTTGTAATAGAATAATAATCCCTTACTTCATGATAAGTACTCGCTAACGCTCGTACTTAATCATGAAGAAAGGAATTATCATTCTCTTACATATACATACATGCAGGTAACAAGCTAATTAAGGTATAAGAAAGTTACTTACTAATGGTTTCTTTTAATCATAAGATGAATGAATGAATGATTTTGAATGACTGTTTCTACAATCTTTTTTCTTTTTCTTCTTTTTTCTTTTTTGTTCATTCAATACAAAATAAAAAAATTCCCATGGTTGTGATATTACAGAAAGTATACTGTGTAGAATTTGCTTTTTCAGCTAACTACATTTACTAAGGTCATAGTTTTTCATCATTGTTTGAGAAAATACAAGATTCAATCTTTCTGATCCAAAATTTCAAATGTAATTGAGTTGTAATTGAGTTGTTATTGTCAATTACAGTCAATTTTGGCTATGTAATTCATTACTTTCAATTACTTGTAATTGAAAAAATGCTCAATTACACATTACATTCAATTACTTGAGAAATTGTAATTTATTACGGTCAATTACAATTACATATTTCAATTATCCCATGTCTGCTCACATTACATGATATATTTGTTGCGCGCATTTCATTCAACCGTCTGCATTTCTCTAATCAGCATGTATATTTTCTAATATTGTTTCTGAATGCTGTTGGTGTATACGTTTTGACGGAAACATATGATTGTATTTTAGGATTTCTGTGTTGATAAATATGATGGACATTTTCCTTCTCTCTTTTTTAAGTTCTTCTATGGCTCTTGTAGGTAGAAAGGATGTCCGGATGTCTGGGGATTACATGTCGTTGTTTTGGACTGTCTTGGCAGCGAGGTTGGAACTTGCGCCATACGATCTTTTGAAATAGAATAAACAAGGGTCTGGAGGGGGGAGGGGGTCCTTCATTCCTGTATTCTTTTAGTTTTTAGACCATTTTTCTCTATTCTTTATACTTTTTGCCCATTTTCTTTATTCTACATATTTTAGCACCTCATTATTCTTTAATTTTTTGGTCCATTTTTTTCTATTCTGTAAACCCCCATCCACACCCTCATAAACAGAACACTCAATTTGCTGGTTAATGCGAAGATTTTAATTTCTCTTTTCTTTTCTTTTCAATTATGAAATATTACAGTACATAAATTATACAGATTACAAAATTTCAAAGGATTATTGATCAGCTGATAATAACACATGTATTTCTGCTTTCGATTTTGCTTAAAATAACTTATGAACGGTGAGCTACTTAACTATGATGTATATGTACATCTATGCAATACGCATGAAGCAACTGCATTTAATTTAACTATGTTTATCCTAGTTATTATACAGGAATTGAATGACCTTATGAAATACATATACTATAATGTTATATGTGATTTAATTAAATTACTGGAATAGAAAATATATTATATTATCAAATTAAGATTTACATTGATTGATTGCTTTTACCAAATTACATAATGAAAATATTTTCTTTCTTATCTATTTACAATTAATTTCCTGCTTTAAATAATTACAATGCATATACTTAAATATTTAAAAAATAGATATAGCTTAACTTATTTAAATAGAATAAACATAACAACTCAATTTGCTGGTTACTGCGAATACGCCAAGTTAAAGACGTATTTCGCTTTATAGTCCTCATTGATACCTGCCATTCTCGCTCCCAGCCGAAATTGAGTTTTCCTTTGCAAACGATAGTAATTGTTGCCAAAATAATTGCTGCTTCAATATCATGATTATATGCATAATGTATTTAATAATATTTAAAGCGCATCAAGATTATTATATCTAAAATTGAATAAAATTGCTTTTCAAAACAATTGATCTCTCGATATTTATAATAAATGTTATCTAAGAATTTATAAATATCATTCTATTTATCTAGTGATATATCAAACATCGTATCTCAGCATCTTGATTGGTCATTATTAGCATTCTTGTGTGGACTTATGTATTACTGAATATTCATGATGCTGAAGCTTATTTATAATTCTCTGAATATGTTCACAACCTTGCAAATAATAAAAATTTGAAATGATGCTTCTGTCCTGCAACCTCGAACCTTCCATGCTAAATAACTAATTTAATAAGTTTCTTGACTTTTACTGTTGTTCATTATCTTGAACTAAAGATAATGTTTGTTATTCGTATAAATCATATTTATTCATGAGTATTTTCTTATTATTTTATTTTCCCATATTGATAAATTAAGTAGAAACATACCTTCACTATTATTTTTGAATATGTTGATAAATATATAATATAAAATTTTGCTTTAATGAAAAATATATTCTATTTCAAATTTTTGAATATTTTTAAAACATCCTAAATCCTTTCATAAGATATATATATGCTTTCTAGATTTTCAAGAACTTTTGAATTATCTAAATAATTATTTTTGCTTAGACAAACAATATATTTTAGGCTTTGTCTGCTGGAATAATAACATATGGTGTTATTGCTCTTATAAGGATTTGGTGAAAAATATCTTTTATGATTAGTAACAACCATATCCTTATCAACAATGTTTAATTTGATTATGCTCTTTTGGTTGTAAACAGATCCTTATTAGCAATTATTGATTTGATAATGTCCCTTTGGTTGTAAGATGTTGTATGAATTGAGAACAGACTCCTTATCCCTATCACTTATAGTGTATACTTTCAATTTTCAACTTGATATTAGGACTGACTAAAGACATTGCATATGTTGCGGATACTCCTCAATGAAAATGACACGGTATAAATTCCGTGCTCCGGAACACCTTTTTTGCTTTGACCTCCTAGCGGGGCGTTGAAACCTAACAGAAGAAAACGATTTTATTTATGATATCTTTGATAGAGGGTTGCTGCTCACAAGGAAAATAATGAAGTCAAAATCGGCAAATTTATTACATTTGTGTTTATTTTTCAGAAGGCCTTATATAGAATCTGTTTTATTTCACTTTTCTTCCTGGCATTCGACATTGATCAATGTAGTGGACAATATGAATATGGACATCCTTTTCCTACATACGGAAGCAACAGGCATATTATACCAGGATCTCCCATGGGTATGTATATCCATTTTTATTAAAACTTTTGGATCAATTGGAATAAATTTATTAGAATGAAACACTAACACCTGTAAAAAATATGTAAATCATAGAATCTAAAATTGATCATTCGATATTAGATTCCTCAAGTTAAAATATGATTCACCATATTTGTTTTTAGCTTAAAGGCTTGAAAGCTTCTTACTCGAATTTACTCTGAAATTGCATGACGACTGCTACCTTCCGAACAGAAATTACCAGGACAAACATTATCGTTTAATTCCTGCCAAAAAATTGCCGAAACAATTATTGCATTAATTAATGCATTATTTTTGTACGTTTTAGTGAAAATTGAATGGTTCCAACAATAACTGTATTTAAGTTTATCATGTTTATAAGGAAAATCAGTAATATTTAGTATGGGACGATTCTCAGTGGGACGAATTGACATATGAGCTGCGTCGGATAGAAATCGACCTTATGCAAGAGCACGTATATATGTACGTGTATAAGAGTTTGATTGATCTTGGAACATTCAAATACGAAGAATGTTGGTTTGTTTTATAGGGTTCTTATATCAACTAAATTTTCAAACAACTCAAAGTAGGTTCACTCATCTATTGATAATTATTTGTATAAGGTCGATTTCTAGCTCATATCTACATTTAGATACGTAATGTTGCCTTGGTTTCCCTCCAAGACTACAACATATCCCTGTCATTGAAGAGCAGACCCCAAATTGAATGTTTTGACAGTCTAAGTTTCTCTTTGTGCTAATGTAGGTTATCTGTTAGCATTATATTGTACTAGGATGAATGTTCAGATCATATCTTCTAGAATATTGCCGTTTGTATTTGAAAACCAAAGAGTTAAGTACAAATCAACCAGTTAGTGCAATAGCTTAGTACTAATACCTTATAACTTCATTATTCAATCCATATTTTTCCAATCTAATTTTACCAAACCTTCCAAGATTTTATCTAAATGGTGTCAAGAGTCATTCCAAAAACTCCTCAGTACATAGTTTTTTTTGTGCAAAAGCATATTATTGCATGAATGTTAAATATAACCTTTCAACTTTGATTTTTGAATCTTGAAAAAGTGTATTTCCTTAATCTAATGCTTGGTGGAGTCAATCTTGTCCAATTTTCTTAGATCCTCCGGCTTCATTCTCATAACCAAATGTAAACAACATAAATGCTTGATCACTGTTTCAATTACAGCTAGGCTAAAACGCACAAATGACTTCCAATACCTAAAGTTGTAAGAGTTGTCTCCCATACCCCAGTACTACCCCTTAATGCTCTAATTCTAGCTGTAAGGTGTCATCTAATTGCTTCGGTTGTCTAGCTATTTTGTTTTTCTCGGTTTGCGATTATTTGTTACGTGTATAAACAAATGTAAGTGATTTCCTTAATAAAAATTTGAAATGATGCTTCTGTCCTGCAACCTCGAACCTTCCATGCTAAATAACTAATTTAATAAGTTTCTTGACTTTTACTGTTGTTCATTATCTTGAACTCAAGATAATGTTTGTTATTCGTATAAATCATATTTATTCATGAGTATTTTCTTATTATTTTATTTTCCCATATTGATAAATTAAGTAGAAACATACCTTCACTTTTATTTTTGAATATGTTGATAAATATATAATATAAAATTTTGCTTTAATGAAAAAGCATATTATTGCATGAATGTTAATTTATCTAACCTTTCAACTTTGATTTTTGAATCTTGAAAAAGTGTATTTCCTTAATCTAATGCTTGGTGGAGTCAACCTTGTCCAATTTTCTTAGATCCTCCTGCTTCATTCTCATAACCAAATGTAAACAACATAAATGCTTGATCACTATTTCAATTACAGCTAGGCTAAAACGCACAAATGACTTCCAATACCTAAAGTTGTAAGAGTTGTCTCCCATACCCCAGTACTACCCCTTAATGCTCTAATTCTAGCTGTAAGGTGTCATCTAATTGCTTCGGTTGTCTAGCTATTTTGTTTTTCTCGGTTTGCGATTATTTGTTACTTGTATAAACAAATGTAAGTGATTTCCTTAATAGAGATTAACTCTTACCTAATAGTTGTTCAGACAGAGACATATGCAAAACTTACTTAAGTAAAAAAGTCCACATATTTTACCCATTCGCAATTATTGCTTGATGCATGCATAGCACGAAACGGTTACCCTGTCGATGCAGCTTGTTAAGCCATTTTGGGGTTCATGCGATTTCCTCAGGTTTCGTATCTTCTGAATGAATTATTGTTCCATTGGTCTAATCTCTCGATGCAATTAGTAGGTAAACTCATGAATTGGTTAGACCGAGTTTCTTTATAAATCTAGTATTAAATTCCAAACTTTCTATACATTATGTTTTATAAATGAAAAGCAACGTGGGCCAATTATAAGACAGCTACCAAAATAAAGAAACCGAACAAAATATAAGTTAGAATTTTCATATCTGAATTTTATCAATCATTTAACAAGTAGGAATTGTACTGTTTACCATATTCTTTTTTAACCGTTTAGATAATGCTTTTCCTGAAACTACATTTAGAAAAAGATGAAATAGTATAAAAAATTAAATAGTATAAAAAATTAAATAGTATAAAAAATTAAATAGTATAAAAGAGAATGGAAATTACTAACATTTATATTTTTTTTCAGTTCAACTCATGACAACTTGCGTAAAAATCCTTTTAACATATTTGACGACTATTTTAAGATAAAAAAAAGTTTCTCTAATTCTTACACAATTTATCCTTTTCCTGGCCTGTTGATTATTTTTATTTCTCTAATTCTTCGTCAATTTATCCCTTTCTGCACCCATTGTATAAAAAAAAATTTAATCAACGTGTGGTTCGTTTGATCTCAGTTCTTCATTGGTTAAAATCCGATTATGACGTCGAATTTTCTTGCTTTCCTCTGAATTTCCTATTGTGACGGCATGAAAAAAAGCGACCATGCCTGATGACGTCACATAGAAAGAACACATCTTTTTGCAGATCATTCGAAAAGAAGGAATACATTTGCCTGCGTATTGTTTGAAAATCATTAGAGAAACAGATTCCACCACCAAATCTCGTGTAATACGATATTTATCCACTCTCGACAGTTAAATTTTAAATATTTCAAACGCTCGGCGAGCCTCGCGTTTTAAATATTAAAATTTAACTGTCTCGAGTGGATAAATATCGTACCACACTCGACGCAGTGGTACAATCTATATTTAATCAACGTGTGGTTCGTTTGATCTCAGTTTCTTCATTGGTCAAAATTCAATTATGACGTCAAATTTTCTTGCTTTCCTCTGAATTTCCTATTGTGACGTCATGAAAAAGGGCGACATGCCTAATGACGTCACATAGAAAGAACACATATTTTTGCAAATCATTCGAAAAGAAGGATCGATTTTGTCTGTATATGGTTTAAAAATCATTAGAGAAACAGATTCCACCACCAAATACAATATTTATCCACTCTCGAAAGTTAAATTTTAAATATTTAACTGTCTCGAGGGAATAAATATCGTATCACACTCGATACAGTGGTAGAATCTATATATACAAAACGTAGGATAAGAAATTACTTAACAATAGTATTTGTGATTTTATATGCAAATTGCATCTACATATGTAGTTGGCTTTTCACTGAATGTTAAGGTGTGTATTTGTGGTATCTAATGGAAAGAATTTGTAATAAAATGAAAATATAAGTACTCATAATTATATCTCTTTTTTTGTGGTTATTTTAGTTGCATCTCAAATGATACCAGGAATGCCAATGGTTGCATCTCAAATGTCACCAGCAATGCCAATGGTTGCATCTCAAATGTCACCAGCAATGCAAATGGTTGCATCTCAAATGTCACCAGCAATGCCAATGGTTGCATCTCAAATGTCACCAGCAATGCCAATGGTTGCATCTCAAATGTCACCAGCAATGACAATGGTTGCATCTGAAATGACACCAGAAATGCCGCCAATGCTGTTAGAGATGTTGGAGATGATTCTGATGATTCTGATGCTGATTCTAATGAATACGAATACCATGACTTCAGAAACTAGTACAGCAAGACCTTAATAGCCATGAGGACCTCTACTTATTTCAAATTGAGTTACCAAGTCGTTGGACTATTGGTATCTGAGTTTGTCCATCTAACGTCAAAACAAATAAAATGTTCTTTTATTGTCTGCCTTCAGTTAAATCAGAATAAAAGCACCGTAAAATTTAAATTGTAATGTGTCAATATTGTAATGTGTCAATATTGTAATGTGTCAATATTAATATTGTAATGTGTCAATATTGTAATGTGTCAATATTGTAATGTGTCAATATTAATATTGTAATGTGTCAATATTGTATCTTAAGTGCCAGTCTTTGTAAGAATCAGGCAATTTAGAAAAAAATCAAAACATGGCCGAAAAAAACCCACCGACCTAACCACCCTATTTTGAAGGTACCCTCATCCTGAGTAAGAAATAGTAGGTCTTTTGTTTCTGGGTGTCTGGTAATTCGAGAAATATCTAGATGAATTTGGTTAGAATGATAGCAAATTACGGAGTTATCTCCCCTTAATTGTTATTTTCAAATTATATCTTGAATTACCAGAACAGGGAAAGGAAACGAATGTTATATTCATGATCCATTATACATTCTGAACTTAAATTAATGTAAAGTTGAGCGGGTTTTTGTTTGTCATGTTTTCACCACTGCCTGATTCTTAGGCAGATTGGCACTTAAATATCAAAGTATAGCATATCATCAATAAATTGCATGATATTGACTGGATAGAATCTAAATAATGATCACTTCACTGCACTATGTGGTTTAAACTATCAAAGGAAGTGATCAACCTTGGGAGATATAGATATCAAATCAGTACTATAGGGTTTTGATTACATTTCATGCAATCTTTACCCCTTCAAAAAAAAATCAACAAACATAAATTTAGTCTTGGCAGACAGGATTATCAGACACAGTTTTAAACAAGATATCCCTAGGATGATTGTGGTTTTGTTTAATTCGAATTAGACAAGAAGCTTCAGATGAGATATTAGTTTTTAAAGTTTACAGACAACGACGGATACAAAGTGATGAGAAAAGCTCATGTGACCCTTTGGGCCAAGAAAGCTCATTAAAAGTTATGCTGTGCACCATACTGTTTGCAAAATAAGTGACATAAGGTTCTTATATTCTATATATACAGATTCATTGTATATCTGCATTTAAATGTATAATTAGGAATGATAACAAACTTTCACTTCAAAAATGTTTGTATAAAAGTATTTTCAACATGGTCGTAATGTTATGAAGTCTGTATAATGGCCATGGTTTACAACATATTTTCTCTGTTGTCACAAGCTCAAATTCGCTATTTTTAATGTTAAACACAGAGCTTTAGTTAAAAACTGTTGTTTTGTTTAAATGAACATTTATTATATGTGATAAAGAAAAAGTAGAACCAAATAGGTGACAACTGAATTCTAACTGAATACCAATAAAAGATTCCAGAACACAAATTCCTTAAATTATTCGAAAAATCTATACAATATTCATACGAAAGAAATTAATTCTGATTTAGAAAAAAAAAAAACGCTTGGTCAATTTGAAATGAGATGTAGTTTGATAATCTAACGCATCAACATGTTCTCATTTCTTGTATGCGATACTTCTCTCAACGGTATAATATAAGGAATTATGTGACGCCACAAATATTCATACTAGTGTGGCAGTTAGAATTATTATGTCATTGTTATTTCCCTTGTTTAAAACTATAAATTTCATATTTCTTTATTTAATAATTTACATGAAGCTTATTCAGTACATATTTGTTAAATTGAATAGATATTGATATTTTGAAATCATTGGTTAAAGATATTTATTCATATTCTAAAGTTTAATATTTGCATCGTCGCAGAACCTTTAATTACCTTCTTCGGAAAACTTATTTATTTTAGTTAATTGATTTGAAATTATTATGTTGAATAGCTTGAGGACTGACGTTCAGTCCAACCTAGGAAAGCCGTGCTTTCCAACCACCCTTTACAAGGTTAGTGCATCTGCCATATGCCTTCTTAATACGGGTATAATATTGAAGTCATTGACTGCTCCATTTCTACTTTGGATTTACATAATAAAAGTTGTAATTGTTGATTAAATTATATATTGTTTTCACTGTTTTTGGTTTTCATTTACATAGATATTATATAGCGCTTTTACATTTGGCATCCATCGTCTCCGTATAAATCAGTTCACAAACTAGAATAAGCTGTGGTCCGCATCCCCGAATCTCCAGCAGAATTGTTCCTGCTACATTTTGGTCCCGCGAGGCGGATGTGGAATTTTAAAGCAACTTTTCTGGTTTGTAACTGAACTAAATTATTTATAAGAAATGGAGCAGACATTTGAGTCAGTACTTGTAATTGGATATGACAGTCCTAAGCAGACCAGTTTTGAAGAGTTGGGCCGAAAGTTGTCCCTGGGACATTTTATTTTCATAGTTTGATTCATTTTGTAAATGTATATTTAGTTATGATTAGGTTTGAAGAAAAACCTTGTTTGTTTGATGGTGTCAGCATTGATGTTACAGATTATTTTGTTCATTTTGAGACAGTTTCTCTTTGGAATCAGTGGAATGAATTTGAGATGGCATGTCAGTTAATAAAGAATTTGAGAGGTGATGCTCAAACTATTTTACGTTTCTTAAAAAGGCCACAGTTGTATGATTATGACTGCTTGAAAAATGTTCTCATTCAGAGGTTCAATCCTAAGGAGAGGGTGGCATATTTTAAATTTCAGCTGCGAGTTTGTAGTTTGATGGAAAGTGAAACCATTTCTGAATTTGGTCAGCGTTTTAAGATACTAGCACATAAGGCTTATCCTGAAAAATTTTCAGATTTAGATGTGTATTTTACTGACTTATTTACATCATGTTTGAATATTGAGATGACTAAATTTGTCACTTTTAAGCACCCTCATAGTTTAGATGAGGCTTTATCACTAGCTATTGAATATGAAGCTGTTCATTTTACTGGTGATCCAGAGACTATTGATGAGTCAGAAAGTTTAGATTGTTGTAATACGGTTCATAACAATTTTGAAATTTTAATGAATATATTGAGGAGGCGACTGAGATCACGTAGGAAACGTAAACCTAAGAAATGTTTTAAATGTCACCAGTTAGGTCATATCAGGTCTAAGTGCCCAAATATGTCTCTTAGAGTCCATGCTAGAGATGAAAGGTCTGCAGATAGTCAAGTGAAATTCTCAAAAATAGAAGGGATATTAAAGAACAATTTGAATCACCATTTTTGTAGTTCAGATTGTGTTACCTTTGTTTAATGTTTGTTTTTACATTGTGTTGTATATATACAGTTTTACTTTAGGCTTATTTCAATGTGCTCAGAGATGTTACACTTTTCAAATTTGGCTGTTTGGTTTTCTTTCCCCAAGGAAGGGATGCCGTGCATCTCATCTTGTTATATTTTTCATTTTTGATTACTTGAATTATGGCTGATCTTCTGTGTAGTTTGAAGTGTAGACTGTTAGCTAGTTGTAGTTGGAATTGGTTTATTTTATGAGTTGATGCTCGTTTGTCTGGATTGTAATCTCTAGCTAAATATTTAGTATTTAGAGAGTTTATAGAAGTCCGACTTCTTGACTTTTATTAGTTATGGCAGAAACCAATAGAGTGAACGTTAAGCTTGAAGTTAGGAACACTTCTAGCTCATACAGATGGACCCGATCCATTATTTAGTAACTTGCACAAAATTTGGGCATCGTCCATTTTATTTTGAGAACCTTGCTATAACAGTTGGGCATCGTCCAACTTTATTTTGAGAACCTTGCATATAGATGGACCTGATCCATCTCCGGTGGTACTCCATTTGTGCTACACGTCAAATGTGCCACTGTGAGATCAACAGTGGTGGAGATTACCTGGTACAACTTAAATTACAAGTATAGGCCTGCTGTGCAGATCAGAAACAGTATATTTTGTTCAGCTGATTGGTGCTTTCAATCGATGGCACGACGTCTGTGTTACCGTTATCAACAACGTTGGAGTGCAGTAATAGAACCCGGTGGTACACGTCAAATGTGCCACTGTGAGATAAAAATTGGTGGACATTGCCTGGTATAACTGTTCATGGATTTCAACATTAGATGTGCCGTTACAATATATGTCGTACCACTGAATATGAAGCCTGCTTACCAAGAAGACTTAAAGTCGCGTCCGTTAACAGATGAACCTGATTCTGATTCTGATGTGTGTTTGTGTATGTGTTATACAGTGTCCTTTATTTCTAAGTAATATTATTACATGTGTTTGAAAGACATTTAATCTGGTGAACATTGATAGACTTTTGTTAAATTTAAATTTTCAAATGTTATTTCATTTACATTTGTTTTCGAAAGGAGGAGGAGGGTATCAGACTGGTGTTGTGGTCTCCTTGAACAGTCTCGTTATTTAACTTCAACTGATATTTTTAAATTTAATGTTTAATCATCACAAATTATTCATATTTTTTTTACATGACATTTGCATTTTGCGAGTTTAGTGTGGCAGATACATCAATTTGATAGACATTTCAGTTTGCAGACTTTATTTATGAAATTTATCGTTTGTCTTAGGGGGGAGGAATGTGGCAGTTAGAATTATTATGTCATTGTTATTTCCCTTGTTTAAAACTATAAATTTCATATTTCTTTATTTAATAATTTACATGAAGCTTATTCAGTACATATTTGTTAAATTGAATAGATATTGATATTTTGAAATCATTGGTTAAAGATATTTATTCATATTCTAAAGTTTAATATTTGCATCGTCGCAGAACCTTTAATTACCTTCTTCGGAAAACTTATTTATTTTAGTTAATTGATTTGAAATTATTATGTTGAATAGCTTGAGGACTGACGTTCAGTCCAACCTAGGAAAGCCGTGCTTTCCAACCACCCTTTACAAGGTTAGTGCATCTGCCATATGCCTTCTTAATACGGGTATAATATTGAAGTCATTGACTGCTCCATTTCTACTTTGGATTTACATAATAAAAGTTGTAAGTGTTGATTAAATTATATATTGTTTTCACTGTTTTTGGTTTTCATTTACATAGATATTATATAGCGCTTTTTACATTTGGCATCCATCGTCTCCGTATAAATCAGTTCACAAACTAGAATAAGCTGT